GAACGCTCACCTCTCTCGTCGCCCCACTTCCAATCCAATGCTCCCCTCCCCCAGTAACACACCCCCACCCACGCAACCGGCCTTTACACCGTCTTCACCTCAGCTTACCAGTCAAATCCGCGCACTCAACAACTCTGACTTGCACAACAACGCCTCGCCAACAGTCTCTAACGTCGGTCAGCTGGCGGTGGCGAGCAAACCAGAACACCGGTGGACAAAATTTATCTTTCAAACGATAGTTCAAGGATAGAGCTGGCCAAAACAAGAGTGAAGATCAGGCTGAGTAGACGTCGACCATTAACGGCTGAAAAAAAGTGTGCAACAGCCGGGAATCGGACCCGGGTCTACCGCGTGGCAGGCGGTAATTATACCCTGCTTATGCACCGACTCTTGCAAATCAATGGGAGAGGATTTGCCCGGGTGGCACGACTAATTGGAGACGGGCCGCCCACTAATTGGAGAGGCTGGGAGAGCCTCCCCAAAGTCTCCAGGTTCTGATCAGCTCACCATACAAACCTTCAAGCCGCGAGCGAAGCGAGCCGGAAATTTTTTCAAAGTCCCGTCCATCCTGCACACCCCCCACCCTCAAAGTCGCACCTCGCACTTTCTAAGTCAAAGGCCGCTGAGCACCAAGTCCACATATATACTTTCGCACCTCGCCGCAAGTCCGCCGCCAGCGGCGACGGTTGCAGCGTCAGCCCTTGTAGTCGGAGTTGCCAACGGATTGGGCGGAGGCGACGCGGGCCGTGGCTCTGCACAACCGCACCATGGATCGGGCAGCGAGCAACTGGCGCGACAGTGAGCGTGCCGGTCGGGAGCACGATGCGCGCGCCATCGTGCAGGACAATGACCCGGCACTCGTGGTGTCAGTCGACGTCGAGGCGTACGGTGAGTATGAATGTGAGAGGTCGAGTGGGCCAGCGATCAATCGGGTGGAAAGGGTTGAGGAAATGGAGGGGGCGGGGGCGGAGAGAAGCTTGGGGTCATGGAAGCGAAAGAAGGACACGAACGAGGTCGTAACTTGGCATTTCGTCCTTTCCTTTCTTGGTGACAGAACGAACCCCGTCTAAGGTCCTCGAGATCGAATAATAAGCCGCAAGTCCTCCTACTCGCAAAAACGATCTCATGTTGTATTGGACGTGAACACAGTGCTCGAACTGCATCCTCCTTGCACCAACCCTCCATATCCTCCAAGGTCATGTAGCATGACGCGATCCACCCGCTGGCGCTGTTCTCGCAGGACTTCGTGGTGGCCGAGCACTTTCCGGTTCCGCTTCGGCTTCGGGCGCACTCGCGTCGCGCCGCTGGCCGACGAGGTCGCACTGCTGCGCAGCGACCTCGCGCTGCCGGCGCCATCGTGCAGCCGCCGCCCTGCGCCCGCCGCCTCCGCCCCTGCCGCTGCAGAGATGCGGCCGCTCGCAGCAGACCCGCCCGGCTCCACCATTTACGCAGGGACGACAGCCAGCACCAGCGGCGACCGGTATTACCGCCGCCGCCGCCGCCGCGGCTCGTGCTGTTAGGCCACGGCATGTTGTGCTCCTGCGGCGTGGACCTCCGCGCCCCCGCTCCTACCACTCCGCTGGCTTCGCCGCTGCCAGCGACGTCGCCGCTACAGTTGGCCGGCGCCGGCGTCACGATGGTATTCGACGCGTCGGACCTGACACCGCCGCTACGGCCGAGGGCCGGCCTGTCTGTCAGCGCATCGGCCTCTCCGCCCTCTGCCAGCGGCTTGACGTCCACGTCGGCCCTCCACGCCACGATGCAGGTGAATGCTTCGTATCTTTTCGCCCTCACCTCGCTTTCCATCCCC